ACCGAATGAATCACTATCCAATCCGAGGCTTCTCACCACCATTGGGCTGCTCAATGGGTGGGCCTGGTCCATATTGAATCTCTTGAGTACTTTTTCAGTATATGCCTTTTGATGCACAAGGATTCCATTATTCACGTACTCAAGTTGCAATCCCAAACAGAATTTTGTCTTGCCTAGGTCTTTCATCTCGAATTCTTTCTTTAGATATTCAACTGTTTGGGCGATTTCCCCAGAGGTTCCAAGGATGTTCAAGTCATCCACATATACTGCTATTATCACAAATCCTTTGTTTGTGAATTTCTTTATGAAGATACATGGACTGATGGGATCATTCTTATAACCTTCTCTGACTAGGTAATCGCTTAATCTATTGTACCACATGCGCCCACTTTGTTTCAGTCCATAAAGCGATTTGTTCAGCCTTATGCAGTATTGGTCCCGAGACCCTTTCTTATCTTTATCTTTGAGCTCAATACCCTCTGGTAATCTCATATATATTATCCAGTGGACTTATATAAATATGCGGGCATTACATCCATTAGCCGCAAATCAAGTCTTTCTCTTTTATATATATAGCCAGACTTAGCAAAATTTTAAATGTCTTAGCATCCACCACAGGGGAGTATGTCTCTTCATAATCTATCCCCGGTCTTTGTGAGAATCCTTGTGCTATAAGCCGTGCCTTATATCTCACGCTTTATTATTCTCATTTCTTTTCTTCACAAAGACCCACTTGTGTCCTACTGGTTATGGTCTTGTACCATTTTAATGATTCTTAGCTCCACGTTTTATGGTCTTGTACCATTTTAATCAATCAAGTCTTTGAGTGCACTCTAGTATAGACGTGGGCTCCTGATCCTCATTTATTTCAGTTGCTACCTTGTGCGCAAAATTATCTTATGTCGACATTTCTTATATGTTCCATTATGTTCCAGACATGATATCATCGATTGAGATTTATTATAGTCAGGACCTTTAATACTTTGCAGCTTGGCGTCCCAAGCTACATTATATGGTACCTGTACCTTAGAGCCGGCCGGCCTTATCTCTATGTCTGGGATGGTTTCCTTAATAACCTCGGTTCCTATTGCACCTTTCTTTAATTTCCGAGGATTTTATCTTTGGAACATATTGGTCTACCACGTTTCTTACGTGCGTTAGACTCTGTAGCAATTTCATTGATTCCCTTTTGGATATCAATACGTACTGGTGCATTACAAGCTGGTATGTACGATTTTGTAACTTTCTTTGGGTCAACAAAGGAATCTGGCAATTCATTAGCTAGCTTTTGCAAATTTATTATTTTCTGGACCTCTGATTCACATGCCAGAGTCCGAGGATCTTGCCAATTCAAGGATGTTTGATTCCATGATATTTCTTTTATATCTTTACCCAGCTTGTTCGTCTCTCCACCTAAAGTAGGAAATTCGGATTCATTAAAATGACAATCCGCGTATCTAGCCTTAAATAGATCACCCGTAGTTGGCTCTAGATACTTAATAATGGTGGGAGAATCAAATCCAACATATATTCCCATCCTCCTTTTAGGTCCCATCTTTGTTCTATGTGGTGGAGCAATCGGTACATATACGGCACACCCGAAAGTCTTTAGATGGGATATGTCTGGCTCATGACCCATGAGTAATTGGGATGGTGAATATCTATGTTCACTAGATGGCCTTATGCGTATAAGTTCTGATGCATGTAAAACAGTGTGTCCCCAAGCGGCTACTGGAAGCTTCGACCTCATGAGTAATGGTCGAGCTATCAATTGAATTCGTTTAATGAAGGATTCCGCTAATCCATTCTGTGTATGTACATGTGCTACGGGATGTTCCACACTTACCCCCATGGACATACAGTAGTCATTAAACGCTTGGGACGTGAATTCACCGGCATTATCTAGACGTATAGTCTTAAGCGGAAAGTCTGGAAAGTGGGCTCGCAGTCTTATTATCTGGGCCAATAACCTAGCAAACCCTTGGTTTCTAGTAGATAGGAGACAAACATGCGACCATCTTGTCGATGCGTCAATGAGAACCATAAAGTATCTAAACGTCCCACATGGTGGGTGTATTGGTCCACATATATCCCCTTGTATCCTTTCCAGAAAATTTAAGGTCTCTTTATTTACCTTAGCCGGTGATGGCCTTATAATGAGTTTCCCTTGTGAACATGCTTCACACGTGAGATTCTTAGGGATAACTCTTTTCTCTCTTAGGGTGTGCCCCTTTGAATTAGTCATTAATTTACGCATCATATTCTGACCCGGATGGCCAAGCCGGTCATGCCATAAAGTGAATTTCTCGATGAACTCTTTGTTCATTGCCATATTAGCTTCGATCATATCGATTTTAGCATAGTAGAGACCAGTGGATAATGCGGGTATAGTCTCTAGGACTTTCTTATGTCCTTTGGTGATCTCAATTATATTTAGGAATTCTTTGTTCCCTTCACCCTTTGTTTCAATATGGAAACCATCCAATCTTATATCTTTAAA